GCATCATCAGGGGATGAGATAACCTTTTAGTCCATCCTTTTAATCTCACACACACACACACACACACACCCTCTCTTTGTCTGTGTATCTCTGCCTCCGTCTATCCTACTCTCTTCTTTAGTCCCTGCCAATGTGTGCACATGTGCAGCAGACTCAGATTTCAACAGCAGAGAAGAAGAGACTTCAGTTATAAGCCACCCTTTCACACCGCTGCTCTCTCCCTCTCCGAGACAAATTAATGTTTGTGAATATTACATTAAACCTGTGAGTGAAAGCTCTTTCTCCCTTCACCTCTCCGCCTGTAATAGATTGTAGAGTCTGGTTATGCAAGTACGAGGTGCCTCTGCAAAGTGCTTGTGTCAGAAAAATATTTGAGTTACTGCGATCCTTGTTGGAGCTCATCATCTGCTCGTCTCTGGGCAGCACTACAAGACTGCGGTCGTGCTGCTGGACTGTTGGTTCAGCTCCCTGGTGTGAGTTAGTGTCGTGTGTACAGTTCATCGCCCCCTCTGCCTGACGCTCATTCATGCATCACTCTGCTCTCCTGCAGCGACTCCACTCATGGGGATACTTAAGGAGTAATGAAAGATATAAAGATAATAATGCAGTATAACTCTACATGCTTGACTAAATAAAACCTTGCAAGACTAAGAGTCTGAACCCAACTCAGTGACCCTGTGAGGCTGCAGTCATCTTGATGGATGGGTGAAAAATGACTTCACACGTCTGGTCCCTTCCACTAGCGGGGCACAAATGTCAAAGCCCGAGGGTGGTGTGATAGTGAAGGCCATGTTTACTCTCCGTACAGTGAGTATCTTGTCAGTTTCTCAGCCTCAGCTCTACATCGTCACACTAGGCTCACTTTTCATAGTGCAAAACTAAATCGAGCCTCAGCTGTACGTTCTCTGGTGTCTCGTGCTCTGAGCTAAGCGCTGACCAGATTTTCATTTAAACTAAATTATGAGTGCTTTGTTAACTGCATTCCAGGTTAATCAGAGCACACACGGCCACATTGCCTCCTAAATTTCCGTGTGACCTGTTGCTGACAATAAATGTAGCATTTAAAAGGCTATTTGTGAACAGAGTCCAGCGCAGTGCTCACTATACATAAAATGCAGCGGCTGTTGGCTGTAATCATTTTTCCAGCTAAATTCACAGAGAACAATGAGGGCAAACCCAAATATTCTCTGTTCTAGCTCAGTTAAAAACACACAAACACTAAATCCATCAGCACATTAGCATGTCGTTCACCACTATGGCTGCAACTGATGATTACTTTAATTAATCTGTCAATTCTTTTCTTGATAAATTTGTTTTTTGCTCTATAAAATGTCAGGAAACAGTGAAAGATGTTGATCAGTGTTTCCCAACGCTTGTTTTGTTTTGTCCATAACCCAAAAATACCCATTAATTTACATCACAAAAGCTGGAATCACAGAATGTTAGGGCTGTAGTCAACCAAAGAAAATCTTGGTCGACTAAAGTTGCACATAATCTTCAACTAATCGATTAGTCATGGATCACGTTATTTTTACTTGTGCGGTGGTGTGTCTGTGTCACTCTGCAGTTATACCTCCAAAACACTAGTCAGCGGTGGAGGACTGTGTTAAGTGCTGTAAAGTTTAGTTCAAATCAAACTTTATTTATATAGTTGATTCAAAACACACATTAAACACACATCATACAACAGTTAGTTCCGGCCCTGCAATCTGATTGGTCGAGAGACAGTAAAACCGTGACGATATTGGAGTACAACATCACGGTTATTTCACTGTGTATCACTCCGCCTCACAGCTGATTGCAATCAACAATCAAATCAAAGCTGACGGTTAGTGTCAGTTAGGTCAGCAGTTGCGTTGCATCCCTGAAAAAGTATTTAAACAAACTTCCATCAGATGCAAATGCCCTTTATCTGAAGCCCAGGAGGATGACAGCAGCTCACACAGACAATCTCTGGTACACTAAAGCTCCGCTGGGAATAAACTCACTCGCACAGATGCTGCCGAAGATGTGTAAAGAGGCAGGGACAACAGCTGTCTACACCAGTCACAGCCTCAGGGCGACTGCCATACAGAAGCTGTCAGATGCGGGACTTGAAGCCAGGGAGATCATGACAGTGGGTGGGCACAGGTATGATGTTGTTTTAACGCAGCCTATGTGTAAAGTTAGTCTCTAATTAGGAGTTGGGCCCTAAATATACCTTTTGTCTTGCCGGTCTGAGAGCTTGTTAAGAAGCTACTGGAAGCCATCCATGGAGAGCAGGAAACGATGGAGCAACATACTGTCAGATCAGAAGGCAGAGTCGGCTGTGCCTGTGAAGCGACAGTCCACCATGCAGTCGCCACAGACTTATTTCACCGGCTGCACCATTAATGGAAACGTGCAGATAAATGTGTATAAAGAGTAAGTGCCTGGCGCACCATGTCTGCGTTACATAGCAACGGTGACAGCGAGGTCCTGAGGGAACTATTTTTGTTGGCGGAAGACAAATAAAATGCTTAAATTATCTATTTTGTCCTCATGTTTCAACATTTCTTAATCAGCCTTGCTTATTTAACTGTTGAACTGTTGTATAAAAGCAATATCACACTCGAGCTCGTGATGTTATACTGTGATATCGTCATGGCTGTGATTCGGTCATAGGCACGAGGCCGCAGACCGAGTATACAAGTATAACATCACGAGCTCGAGTGTGATATTGCTTAATTAAACACACATTAAACACACATTAAACACACATTAAACATGGCTTAATAGAGACAGTTTCAAACACAAGTACACAAATCAGCTTCACTATAGCTCGCAGCATTCACAGACAAACACTTGTCTTTATCTGGACACATTTTCCCCACAAATACAACATGCTAACGTTATTAGCACAAGACTATGGCATTTTACAATATATAAATTAGCCTAGCGTCTAGCGATCTTTTCCTCTTCTCATATAAAACCAGGGACAACAGCAACATGTAACAAAGGTAACAGCACGTAATTCGGCTCCATTACAGCTCACAAGGTTCACTGACAAAACAACTGTCTTATACTAAACATGTTTTCCAAGCAAATACAACATGCTAACGTTATTAGCACAAGCCTATGGCATTTTATATTGTATAAATTAGCCTAGCAGCTAGCAGAGATTTCCTCTGCTCATATGAAGCCAGGATAAATCACACACAAGACTTAAAATGCTATTTTAGTGGAGGCTTTATTGTCTTCACAATTTATTGTTTCTTATCTGTGAAATTAAAGTAAATAAAAGCTTCGTTTCCACTGAGGGAAATGGTTTCAGCTTACAGAGACAGACAGGAGGTCTGCGTCACTGTGACGCTGAGCGTGAGGGTGGGCGAGTCCAACTTTCTGTCAACAACGGCGTGTTTTGAAAACATTTTCACAGGTAACTTAGCCTGTCCCCCCGCCGCAGGAAATAATGGATTAATCCTGGAAAGCTGTTGATGTAGCACTTTTCTCCTTTTGAAAGTAACACGGCGATTATTCGACCAATGAGAATTTGGTCGGACGAGAGCATAGCGACCAAATGATTGACTAGTCGACCAGGAGACTACAGGCCTAGAGAATCTGGTTCATTTTTTCCTTAAAGATAGACTTCGCAGGACAAAAGTACAAGAGTAATCCCTCTCAATCATTACTTCTGACCCACTCTCAATGTGTTTATCTGCAGAGACTCAGCCTGTTCTTATTGTCTATGTTTAAGGTGTTTAAAGGCGTGTGGCCCCGAAGTGCTCACATGAGGTTTATTACAAGAGTAGTGAGCAGGTGCCAGACTGTGAGCAGGAGGCATTAAAGCTACACAGCGCTGAGAAAACGTTAATATAGAGGCAAAAGGCTGAACAGGAGTGAATGTGGGGTTTGCGTTCACTTTCACTTCCACTGGTGAGTACAGTAAGACAATCCTGCATGATATACCATTAAAAATTACTCAAACCAATTAATTATTTACCACATTAGTTGGTAATTAATAAACTGATTTCAGCAGTTCAGATAACAGGCAGTCAACAGTCCTGCTGTTATTTAGGACATATGAGCTGCCCAGAGGCACTTCATGGATTCATGGCAGTGCGCTGCTGCAGTTCACCTGATTAAATATATATCTGTGGCCTGGCGGGGGGGGGGGGGTTCCCATTCTTGTACAATTATAGAGGAAACAATGAGATTATATTCAAATAAGGACGCCTCCTTTGTTAATAATATATATAGAACAATGGATCAACTGCAGACTGGGCAAAATGACAATATTTATCAAGACAGCTGAATTGTGTCAACTATCAGAGTCTTTCTGTCCTGTGTTTACCCAGGTAACACTCTCTCTAACGTCTCTTTATGACTTAAGTGATTTACAGGATTATTGCATCAGTGTAATCAGGTCAGGTGTTTAATCCACTGGATTAGCTAGAGATACACAGTCCCATCTGGTTATGGACCAAGAACAATCACTTCTGGGTTGACGATTGGCGACTGATTTCTATTGTGGAGATGTGTGAAATCTGCAAACTTGTTTATTTCTGTCTTTAATTTTCAGCCAAACCATAATGTTTAAAGATATATAATTAAACATGGTGGTCCAACCTATGTGACATTTCTTCTCTTATTTCATGTACTGTGTTTCTTTGCTAGCATCTTTGATAAACCCGGAGCAAATCGTACTTCAGCCACCAAATAGACCCACTTAAAAAAATCAAGTGTACACTATATTTGAACATTTTCTCCACTTTACTTTACACATGAACCAATCAACGCTGCTGTAGACCAGCTTCACATCTGCAAGGTAAAATGTTTTTGTCAGTGGAGTCTGGTGACTTTGAGACAACAGCTTCAGTTCCCTGTCAGAGAGGGCGAGGTGAAGCCGTACAAAGTATTCTACATATAGTGCACACTTAAACTGATATTGATTAATTCAGGACGGCCAAAAAAGTTTCACAGGCTGACATCAACGCAAAAAAGTTGATTTATTTAGAACATAATAATGAAGGGTGCTCAAAGTGCAAAAATAATAAAAGCATGAATAAAAACAGCAGCAAACGTTTCAGTCCTTGACTACCTCCTCTGCCGGCCTGTCTTGGTTGTCCAATGTACCGACGCACCCAAGATCAACTTCTTTTGTTGCAGTTTCACAGCAGCCCTAGGACCTTTATTGAGGCAGCGTTTCCTCCCTGAAGTTACTGTAAACACACATTGTGATTCAGTCTGTTTTATCTGTAAATGGTTTCTTAGTTGAACTGAAAAATGGACGTGTGCTACTAGTAATGTTAATGATAACACACACCATGATAGCAAACTGATGATGCACCTGTTAACAATAAAGAAAGGTCAGACTGTGGGGAAACACTGTGGAGATACTTGTGTGATGAATGCCTTCTGTCCTGCATCATGTCATCAACAGGCTTCAAGACAAACAGTCGCTTTTAATCAAGTTTTGCTTCCTCATATCAGCCCATTGCTGATCCATTTAAGACTCCGGCGCATCCGTATCTCTGCTGAGGGCGACACTGTGTGCTTCAAATGTTTCGCATTTCCAGCTGGAATATTATTATTACTGTTTATCTGAACCATGACTGTAATTAATCACAGGGATTAAAGCAGCAGATCTGTGACCAGGAACTAGAGATTAGAGGATGAAACCTGCGTTATGAAATTTTAACTTCATCTGTGCTGTGAGGCAGTGTGTGTGTGTACAGTGTGTTTAAATGCCCCTGCAGTTACAACTCTCTCTCTCTCTCTCTCTCTCTCTCTCTCTCACACACACACACACACACACACACACACACACACACACACACAGAGCGGTGCCTGGCTGATGAGGACACTGTCGCTGTGTGCATGTTTGTGTGTGTAAACGTAATAAAGGATGCTGCTGGCCGCTCTTATGTAACAACCCTGTCGGCCCTGATGCTAAATCGTCGCCATGGCAACAGAATTAGCTGCTGCAAAGCTTTTCTCTGTCCCCCCCTCTGTGTCGGCCTCTCTCTATCTGCTTTGTTATTCTCCGTCCTCACCTTTGTTCCTCTCCTGGTCGTCCATCTCTCTTAGCTTTAATTCAATATAAATGGGCTTGGGTGAAATGAAATATGTAAGTGCACTCCTTCTCCGTCTGTTCTTCCCCTCCAGTCCACTTTCCTGACTTCCAACTGCTTTCTCTCTCCTCCCCCCTTCTCTCGTTCCCTCGGGTCTCTTTCATCACATCTCTCTTTCTCTCTCACATCCGCCCACAGGGTCTCTCCACCACTCATGCTCCCCGTCCTCTCTCGCTGTCTGGTCCTCTCTTTGCCAATATTCCTCATCTCGCTCGTCCCTGTCAATCCATCTCTCTTTGAACAACGGCTTAATTAACGGATTAATTATAATTTTAACAGTTTCTGCCTCCTCTCGCCTCTCTCTTCCCCTCCCCTGTCCCTGTCAATCGCTCTCTCAATCTCCCTGACTGACAACGTGATACATTTAATTAACGGGAGATAAAATGCCAAATATTTCTCTGCCTGTTTTCCGTTCTCTCTTTCTTCACTTCCATCACTTTTTCCTCTCCCTCTGTCTCACACTTCCACCCACCATCCTTTCTCTTTTGTTTGTCTCGCTATAAGTCTCTCGGCAGCTTTAATCTCTCTGAACACACTTTCTCATTCTTCCTTTTCTTTACCAGTCATGTGCAGATTAATGTATAAGAGATTTCCTAATTTACTTCCATCTCCTAATTTGCATTCCTCTGTGGTGACCTGCCAATCTCATGTCTCACCCACTGCAAGCTAATTACCATCAAATTTAATTTGTCATTATCTGACTGTGTTTTGTCGCTCTCCTTCATGCTGGCTTTACATCAGTATGTCTGTCAGAGACAGGAACAGCAGCAGAGCATTATGAACAGTATGTACTGTGATGTACGGTATGTGTGAGAAAAAACTCAAAGAATGTCTGAGAAATACTGACTGATTTTCTGCTTTCAGTCACTCTCACCGCTCGTCTTTGTCTGACCGCTCACGCTCCTCAATGTTCTTTTTCATTTTGCTCTTTTCAGTCCTGAATTTGCTCTTCTCGCCTCTGCTCTTTCCTTATTTATGCTGTACATAACACAGGCAGAAACAGAGGGGCGTACAGTGTGTACAGTATAGTGTGAAAAGTGAGGTTTCAATAAAGAGACCCAGTGTATACTGTCTGCCATACTCCAGACCTTGACTGCAACAGGTTCAAAAGACACAATGCCCAACATGTAAACAGGTTAAGAAGGTGCCATTAGGCTTTGAGTGGTGTGGTGCCGCACTCTAAAGGAGCTGTATGCGACATTTAGAGCCTATCTATGAAGAAGAGCTTGAGCCAGGATTGTCTGCACACACGTCTCAAAGTGGAGGTGGCTGAGTTGACAGCTAGCAGCAAATGGTGGTAATGTTGTGTTCCACTGGCACTGGAAAATGAAGCCTTCCAAGTGTCCTGTCAGAAATGTCACCTTGAGTTGGATTTCTGATTTGGAAAGTTGGAGGAACGTAACCAACCCGACCTCAAAATCAAAGATGGCTGCTCCGTGCATCAACAGTAGTGAAAGCGTACTGTTTATTAGCTCTTCTGTCTCATTTGTGTCTCACTAAAACAGTCATACACACAGTCCTGTCCAATTTCTGTCTGTGGACATGTTGCTTCAGTATTTGTGTGCACAAAATGCAGCGTAATGCACTGTTATCATCTAGTATTGCTAACAATGGCTGACCTAGATAGAACTGGTATTGCTAACAACACGGTGTTTATATGCGCTGCAGCAACTGGAATATTCCGTTTACATGTTAATTGACATATTCCCGTGTTTCGGCGTATTCCAGAAAAGACCATGGGCTACTGGCCCACCAGAAACTAGGGATTCACCGAAATGAAAATTTGTGGCCGAAGCCGAATAAAATTAAACGCTTGGCTGAATACCGATGTTTAGTTTTTCATTAGTTTTTGCAGATGAACCCTCCAGATTAGTGTTGTCACGGTACCAATATTGGGACCCACTGTGCGATACCAATGAAAATATCATGGTTCTGAGTAGTATCAGGATACCACAGCAAAAATGAGGCAGATGTGCCTTTTGTCATTTATGAAAAGATAAATCACTTTTCTATAATACATCAATGATATTTCAATGGAATAAATTACTTATTGACTTATTCATACTTCAAAAACAGCATCAATAAGTGATTAACATAGGGGGGATCAAAATAAAATAAATAAATAAAATAAGAATCAACCAGCCACCCTCCTCCCCTGACAAGTAAAGAACAGTCCCTTCATAAGGAAAGAACAGTCCCTAAAGTGCGGTGAGGTTTGTGGGCCGTTACCTGCCACAAAGAGAGAAATGTGAACGGCTCGTTTCTCCTCTGACACGTCACATACCTGTGTGCCGCCACGGCTCGGCTGTTCAGGTACTTCTGAGCAGTCATGACACCAACGAAGACTTATTGGTCCTGGAGCTGGACTTCTCTGTTGCTGGTAAGCCGTTATCTTGCGCCGCGGAGCACTATGGCCGCCGTATTCCTGTCTGTGATCCCCGTTCAACCCACAACCGGCAGGATTCGCCTTTCGTTTCTGCTGCTGGTTGAAATCTGTACTCACACAGCTGCTCCTGAATGGTTTCTTTTGCTCGCACAAAACTATTTTTTGTGGCAAATGCGAGTAAAATGCAGAGCTCTGTGGAAAACACATCACTGTAGCATATATAAACAAATCTAGCCTCCAAGTAAAAATAAATAAATAATAACTTTCACTGTTCAAAGATACTCAGTAGCTCAGCTAATACCTGACATGTCACTGGATACAAACCACTGCAGCAGCATATTGAGTGCCAGGTGGCCAGCGCACCCTCTTGTGATTGGACTTTGAACTTATCCCACAGTAGTGGTGCCGTGAGGTACTGTAGTACTGCAGTACTCCAACATTATGGTATCATATGTACCGTGGTGTTTTAGTACCGCGGTCTACCGTTGGCACCAGTATACCCTGCAACACTACTATGTAGCATTCATCATATCATTCCAGCAGACAACATGAAATACATACTTTACATACTGGATTGGATCAGCTCCATCCCCAGGTGTATCCATTGGCTTTTTAAGCTCCAGTCATGGGTGTTTTTGCAGTGACCCGATGTGTTTCCAGCAGGTTTTTAGGCTCAAATTGTGGGTGTTTGCTGGTGATGCAATGGCGGGGATAGTGCCATGAAGAGCAACTTTTTACAGAGCAATTGCAGCCAGGATTGTGCCCCCTCCATATAAGGCGTTTCATTTCCTGACCATAGCCAAGTAGTTTTTGTGCCTAAACATAGCCACATGTTCACCAAAGCGTTGGTGAAAGTTTCCATTACAAAATAACATGCAAATGTAACACATTCTTGGTTCGCAGAGACGTTCAATGCCAACATTTTTTCTGGTGATTAGGCTGCATAGATGTTAGTAGGATTTGCAGTGCATGTATAGACGCACAAACAGGACCATACTTGGGTCACTTATGTACTGATAAGCTTTTGCAAAACAAAATGAGTCAATAAAAGCAGAAAGGAAGCTGCTGCATCTGTGAAGGATGAAGATTTGGGAATAGTGGTGGGGAGGTAGGACAGAGTTTGTCCTCACTGTTGATCTCGACACTTTGGGACTTTTATCTCATCATACTTTGATGTCAGCCTGCTGTGTGTTCTCCAGGTGCTCATGTTTTTGTTTGCAACACTGACAATCAGAAATTCTCCCATGTCTTTCTGTCTGTCTGCTGGTATGGTTACGAGGCAGCGGCATACACTTTGATAAGTGTAGTTGTTTCTGTGTGTGTGTGTGTGTGTGTGTGTGTGTGTGGTCTGATTTGTGGGTGGTTGTCTGTGTACGTCGTCAGCACTGTGGGAAAGGATTCTGTGTTTCATTGATTGTACAGTGAGATGAATCCTCAACTATCTGTCTCTCTCTCGTGGCACCAATTGGTAGGAATAATAATTGGTAGGAAACAGAAAATAAAAAACTACTCCTGTCAAACACATAAAGAGAAATTTCCTGTGTGTGATTGTTGCACATACATGCACAAGCCTTTAAGACCTGGGTTAACGTAGATGTTTATGTGTTTGAAAATGTTTTTGGTCATGCTATGCAGCTTCAGACACCACTAATGCACATCACTGCACTGAGCAGAAAATGTCTGGAATGCTGTTTAATCATGT